TGTCACTCCACAGTTTGATCCATCACCTAGCTTCACTGCCACAGAACCTGAGTGTGTGTCCACATCTTCATCACAAGTGTTTTATGTGTCTCCGCCTCACAATGTAATGGAGTAGTGTCTCTACTACATATTTCATCTGTAACAGGGTTCTTACAAAACCAAAAAAAGCTTTGCTTAAAAAGGAAATGTGTCTGGTGTTGTAGGCGAGGACTTAAGCAGCCGGTAAAATAAACACTCACTTATATTATAAGTACTGTGAGTGTAAAGTAATTATGTTAACTTTATGTTTTGCGATTGCTTTTATAGATACAATTTAGAAGTGATGGTAGGGGCTTTGAGAGTCTGTACATTTTTGGTTTAGGTACTATGGAAGTGCTTGAATCTCTATAAGCTTTACAACAGTGTTAGGGCCATGGCTCCGTAATATGAGATGTCACCATGGATGAGTCTGCATTGTTTGTATGTGCAGGTCTGGCATGTTTGTGTTCTATTTTTTATTTGATCATGATGTTCTCATTGCAAATAGGAATGCCACTTTGTTTATTGGCTATGTTGTTGTCCATACTTTCTGTACACATTCTACCATTGTTCACACATTGGCCACAATATTCTTATACTTAACCCCTGAACTGATCATGTGTATATCAATTACTCATACGTTGTTGAAGAAAACGTATTCATTTTCTTAAAGTGAGGGCTGCATTTAAAATAGCAAAGCTATATGAAATAATCTGTTAACACACTTCACACAATTTATATAATCACACAACCAGTATAATCCAAATCTCCCTACATGCATTTTCGCTAAATCAATATAAAGCTTTACTCATCCATGTGAGTACTATTTATACAGTAGTGTTTTACATGGTTAGGTTTAAGTGAAATGCATGTGTTTGTTAAGAAATAAGAAGATCGGAATTCATTAATCATGTGAGTTCTTGATATCAAAATGTGGGGTTGAGTATTGTTAAATGGTCATTCATAATATCAGTATTTTTCTTTTATCACTGTTCCATGATGGCCTTTTCTAATCAAGTGTGTGTTTTCTTGTGTTCCTCCAGACTCGCTGAGTCTCGCACTAACCCCCAGGTCCTGGACATTGGGGTAAACCCTCAGGACTTCAACACTGAAGAGTGCCTGTCCCCAGGCAAATGGGACCAAGAGGACATAGACTTCCCCCCACAGAAAGACACTTTCTAAAAGTGGAGCCTCTGCCAAGAAGGAAGACAGGGAAACGTGGGGGATAGATGTTGGTTACACATGGTTGGAAACTGTGAGAAGACAAACTTTTTGACACGTTATCAGTAAGGTTTCCCGCCTTCTCCCTGCTGCCACGCCCTCTGCAGACCAGAGACGGAGACACGAGCAGGCTGCTCACAGAACAGGCCAAAGCAATAAAAACCATTTAATCCCTTTTCTATGAAAGACACATGCAGTCATGTAATGTTTGTTACAGTCAGTGTATTACTTCCTTTTTCTGTCGGTTTACCCATTCACTGTTAGTAATGTGTTTGTGGTATGTGCTTGTGTACATTGCGTTAACGAGTGTGTGTACAGAATATAAATGTACAAAGTGAGATGTGAGAATATGTTGAGCAGGTTGTTACGTGAGGTAAAGGTCAACAAGGGTGCTGTCACATATTTGATTTAGCTATATGGAGAAACTGGATAAGAGGGAAACGTCACGGGTGGAGGCCAGAAATGCAAAATAATAAAGTTACTACCTATGTGCTTCAAGAATTCAGCCTTTTGTTGGGCAACAAAAGCTTTAAAAAAATGTGTGTGTATTTTGGTCAAAGAGTGCTTGTGTGAAAAATGGATGCGAACAAAATGACAATCTTATTTTTATTTTCTATTGCAAAATCTATTTTTGCACTCATCCACTTTGAAAAGCACATATTTAATGTAAGGGAATTTAACTTCGATAAGCATCAAGCTCATTATTCAGGCTTATATACAGTGCCTCTGTTAACTCTTTTCATGTTTAGTTTTTTTATCTGTAAATCACAGTATTCATAATGCTTTTTTCCAACATTGTAGGAAACAAAAACTTAAAATAGCGCCACATTTGAAACAGAACCAGTCTTTCACCCCACTGTGGCTCATGGACAGACCTGGATGTCAAAGCGGAGGCAAGTCATGTCGTTTTTTTTTTACTCACATTAATATGACGGTCTCTACCTTGTCACCAAGTTGCTTTTAATCACCTGTGATTCATAGTTAAAAAAAATAAAACGTGAAGTCCAAAAGGTTTTTCATCGGCACTCGACCACTATATGTTAAATTATATTGTTGCATTGACTTTGCAGGTTTACTTTTACTTTTTCGGGGAGGGTTCCCAGTGTTACTTTTGGCATTGTTTATGTATGAATTTAATTTAATTCATGAATTTACATTAAAAAAAACTATAAAAGTACAAATGTATTTGTGTGATGTTTATTACAAAAATGTTTTTCTACTTATTTTGCTCACTGTTATCTCTCCATATATAGCGACAGCAGGAAACAAAGTCGCTGAGAGGCTGAAGCCGGGCCTGTTTGATATTGAGTGACACCTGACACGCTACAAAAAAGTACTTGCTGAGATCAAAAACTCTATTGAAAAAATAATGTAGTTTAATGAAAACTGGGATGATCAACTTATCCTTGGGCAGACATTGTTATATTAACCAAAGCAATCATTGAAACTTGGGGTCAACAAAAAAGTACAACGGCCCTGTGTCACCCTCTCTTCAACACACACACACCTCACGCAGGTGAACAGGATTATAATGAGTGCCGCCCATATCCATGTGACCCAAGCTAACCAATCAATAGTGATCAAACAAATATCTTATATTAAAACAAAACTCATTATTATACGCGTTTCATGGCTCCTACACCATGGTTGTTCTTGCATACTTTGTCTGAAAGATCGAAGGAACAACGATGGAAAATATGTCAGTTATAATCCTCAGCTAGCAAAGCACATGTTTTGTTGGAAGCTCATAATACCCTGTTGAGAATGTTATTGAACTATCAGGGAAAAATATGAAACTGATGTTGCATGTTTTTAAAGGATGCATGTTCAATAAGTATGTTGTATGTGAATATACTCACTGCATGGCCACTTTAATAGGTATAGGCTAAACCTGTTCAACTGCCTGATAATGCAAATATCTAATCAGCCAATCACATGGCAGCAACTCAATGCATTTAGGCATGTAGTCATAGTCAAGACGACCTGGTGAGGTTTAAACAGAGCATCAGAATGGGGAAGAAAGGAGATTTAAGTGACTTTGAACAGGTTGTTGCTGCCAGACAGGCTGGTCTGAGTATTTCAGAAACTGCTGATCTACTGGGATCTACTACATGTGAGGAAGTTTCTAATTTTAATATAAAATGTTTTACCAACAGTGGTTCATACGATGTAAGAGTGCACCCTTATCTGAAATATGGCTAAACCTATGGGCTTCTTTCTTTCTTTTAAACGGCTAACTTTGTAAGCCAACTGTATATTACCACTTGCTGTCGCTCTTTTTCTTTCCATTTAGCTAAAGTAAACAAGAGAAAATATAAGATAAGGGAGTTGTTGTGACTATGAGGCCAGGTTTAGGAGATGTGCTGTAGGACTCTGTAAATAGAAACAGGACAGCTTCAAGACAAAAGAAAAAGCTTTATTAGAAGTTAAAACAGTTACATGTAAGTCCAGTTATGGAACACACTTATAAGGCAAGTGCAAATGAATTATGTATTTCAGTTGCATTTACCTTGTGTGATATATTCCAGACTGAGAGGCTCTAGCACAGGCATGTTTGTTTGACCATCACTACAAAGAACATCTTGCATTGTGAACTTTTTGTGATGAGTTTTCATGTTACATTATTTAGCCCTCCAACAGAGGCCACTGCATCCTCCTCTGCTTCTCCATCTACATCTGTTGCTCCAGGTATTTCAAAACTCTGAATCAGGAGCTGAAATAAGGTGACCATGTGTAATGCCGTTGGTGAAACAGCAGCAGACATTTGAACACAATGCCTGAAGACACTTATAAACACTTCGTGTTCCAATATTGCGCACTTTTTAAGGTCAAAATACTCACCACCCACTTCACAATTGTAACTTGACTACGTGACCGATTTGTGACTTTTCATCATCACCTGATGAAACACAATGCCTAAGGTCTTACTCACAGCTTGCATCAGCCTGCCAGCAGAAAGTGGGCGTTAGCTGAGGCTAAAGCAGTTTTCTGTTATATTTTCAAAATAAGATTCCTGATATGCTTTTGTGCATGTTTGCATTATTCAATGCTTGCTAGTATTGGAGAAATCAAAAATTAAAAGCACCAAGGCAAACAAAAGAAACATATTTTAAAATGAGCCAAGATAATAGAAATAGGCCAAGAAAAAAGGTCTGTGTAAGAAATAAAAACATTTGATTTAATAAAAGTCAGCAGCAAAATGTTGCAGTTGCAGTTTTCTGGGATATTTGCCCAGGAAATTGAGCATACAAACTGAAGACTGCCATGTTATGACTTGTGTGTGTTCATGACATGATTTCAACACAAGTCTTCATTGGCTTAAAATCAATTAAAACATGTTTTCCTTCATTATATGTGGGCTGTATACAATTAGATAAAAATCAGTGGCTTATCTGCTTTAAAGAGGCCCTATCATTATTATTTAAAAATATGCTGTTTTATTTCTTGTAATTTCATTGTTGAGGAACCTGTGACCCACTTTTTTCATTCATTACACAACTAAACTGCAGTACTGTATATGATATGACATTAAACCTTTTGAATCTTTGAATCTATTATGCTTTTTGGGGTTTTCTCTTCCCTGCAGGTTTTTCTGTATGTAAATGCTCTGCAAAGGTTAACATCCCAGAGTCCCAAAATCCCTCTTTTTGAACATTAAAGCATATAAACATGTCGCAGTAGTAGCCCAAAATACAAATATGAACCTGAAAGTTAGCATAATAGGGCCCAAGCATCAAGACAGACAAAAGAACATATAACATGAGCCAAGACAAAATAAATGGGGAGTAGAGAATGGAAATAAAAACACTAAAATAGAATCCAACTGGTATAAAATACAAGAACACAATGTACAGTGCTGTGTAAGTAATAATAATAATAATTTCAGGCTGCAAAGGTTCCACATGGACTCCAGGATACGCTGCAAGTTCTCCTGGTACACCATAGAGAGGATCCTGACCTTCTACAGGTGCACCATAGAGAGCATCCTGACCTTCTACAGGTGCTCCATAGAGAGCATCCTGACCTTCTACAGGTGCTCCATAGAGAGCATCCTGACCTTCTACAGGTGCTCCATAGAGAGGATCCTGACCTTCTACAGGTGCACCATAGAGAGGATCCTGACCTTCTACAGGTGCACCATAAAGAAGCATCGCTGCCTCTACAGGTGCTCCATAGAGAGCATTCCCTGACCTTCTACAGGTGCTCCATAGAGGGATCATGACCTTCTACAGTGCGCACCATAGAGAGGAATCCTGACCTTACCTACAGGTGCACCATAGAGAGGATCCTGACCTTTACAGGTGCATTCAAATAGAGAGATCTGACTTTCTACAGGTGCTCCATAGAGAGATCCCTGACCCTTCTACAGGTGCACCATAGAGAGGATCCTGACCTTCTACAGGTGCCCATAGAAGGATCCTGACCTTCTACAGGTGGCCACCATAAGAGAGATCCTGACCTTTTACCAGGTGGCTCCCATAGAGAGGACCTGACTTCTACAGGTGCACCATAGAGAGTAATTCCTGACCTCTACAGGTGCCCATAGAGAGGACCTGGACTGCTGCATCACGGCAGCCTGCACCGCCCTCAAATCTAAGGCTCTACAGAGGTGGTGAAAACTGCACAGCACATACAGACAGAGCTGCTCTGGAGGACTCTACTCCCAGAGGTCGGAAGTCCCTCTTACAATAGACCCCATCACAGTCAGCCAAAACTGTCTGTCTGCTGCCGGTCTGGCAGGCGCTACCGCACATCAGGATAAACCGCCCAGACTCAGGGACAGTTCATCCCCACAGGCCAATAAGATATTAAACACCTGAGCTTACCCTATTTATTATTTTTATGTTTTTTGGACTAATTTTTATAATTTAATAAAAATGTATGTCTTGTATTGCCACCTGTAGGAGACAACACAAGTCTTAATCATAAAGCATAACAGAACACAGACGTTGCGTATAGGTAACAATGACATAATTATTGAATCTTGATATTTTAATAAAAGTCAGCAGCAAAAAAAGTTAGCAGCCAACTGAATGGAAAAATTCCCAGATATAGGAAAATCGCAATAAAACCCTGAACACAGATCAGTATAGAGACAAAACAAAGTTATAACTTGTTGTTTAACACAAGATACCTAAAGCTTAAAGCTTTTTAATGGCTCAATTATTATGGTTGGATACACCATTTTTATGAAAGTCGGTGGGCCACATCTGCTTTAATAGTCCTTGTTATAACTCAAAGTCCTACACTACTTAAAACATTTTTTAAAAGAATGTTTTATCTTTGAAAGAGCATCAACTTCCCGGTGAAGCTTGTGAGGGTTCACTACCATAGGATCACTACGCGTTTCGA